AGAAAATGTTCTGAAAATGGAAATTTGCTCCTCAGCCTCTTACCCAGAACTTCCTATAACGATTCAATTATGTTTAGGTCTGATGGCAAAGAAACTATTTGATGGCATTCTAATTCCACTCCTCAAACGAGGACCAAACTTTTTTCGCTATTTATATGGATGCGTTATCATCTTAGAATATGGCAGTGTTTGGCAGCAATGCTGCTACTCGTAGTAAGGACTTCATCATTGGCGATGTCAAGATATCCATTCACAATCATTCAGTTAGTGAGGTTAACAAGAGTACTACCTGAATACCGCGATATAGCGGGCCAACTCGTAATGCAACCTCCCCCATCTTTGACTGTAGTAAACTTAGAACATTTCTCTGACCATGCAAAGCGTCTCAGATGCTTACTTCCGATGAGGGGGTAAAATAATAATTCCCTAAGAATATCTATATTTCCTATTCGATCGGAATTGCTTGTCATATTTACTATAGAAGGATGAAGGAAGGCAAGATGATTTTTCCTTATACAAACGTATATTTTTAATCGGCTACAGTTTGTCAATCTGTCTGGTCGCGTGGACATTTAACTGCTTGTCGTTTGCACTGGTGACCAACTCAACTACGATAAACAACTAAAACAAACGCATTCATCTGCTTGGATAGTACTCCAATAATATGACAAGACCTTGAAAACGTAGACATAAAGTGGAATATTGTCTACGACCGATTGAATGTGCAGACTTCAAGTTATTCCTATCGATTAGCGATCGATGCTGTAATTTGAAACTCCTAGGTGTTAAACAATCGTAGTTTTCTTCTTCTTCTTCTTTTTTTTTTTTTGTTAGATTTTTTGTTTGCGGTATTTTATATAAATTTTATTTATGGCATTGTAATCATGATTTTGTTCTGCTACGCGTATCCAATTGACCGAAAGTGTATGCATAGTTAATCATCTCGAAATTTTACAGTTTTTTATTCGCTTTTATTGTAATAAATAAAACATTAAATGTTTTGAATGTCTTACGATTTTCGTCTGAGCGAAGAATCGTAATTGCAATGAAATCATTCGATAAACAAAAAAGTTGTAAATTGTAAAAATATAGCGAACGTTGTTTTTGCAATTGTTGTCAAGTTCAATAGTTTTAGCAATTGTCGTTAGCCAAGTTCTTCATTTTTGCTGTGCATTCAAGGTATTTTTGCTTCTTTTCCCGATACATATTCACATGCATATGTATAGAAAGTATTATTAAATCATTGCTTTTAATCGTAGTAAGCTGGCGCGTATATCGATTTCATTTTATGCGGACATGTTGAGGCGTGCTATGTTGCGAATTGAGCCTGTGTTTAGCAGCGGCTTTTAATTCATGTTATTAAGTCTTTTATGCAACGCTGTCATGCCCATCAACCAAAAATGACTAGAAATGAATAGATTTATCGGTCCGTTTGTCATCGTAGCACCGCACACGCACATACGCATGTACGTCAATGAGGCCATAAAGTATACAGAAAGTACGTCGATGTATAAACGTTCGTCTGGTTGCTGTTGGCTGTGGAAACTTTCATAAGCGCAAAAATTGAAACAATCGATTGACAGATGGTATATATGGTTTCGATTATTAAATCCTAGCGCGTAAAGCTTGAAAAGCATATGATCTGCTCATAAACACAGCGACAATATGCAAGGGGTTGCAAGTTGAAATGTAAATCTGATATTAATCTAAAGACTTTGTGCAAATATTTTTCAACGCCATTGGAAAGTGCTGAGGTCTTCACGGTTCAACTGAAACGTTCGCAATTAACAAAATATCTTGCAGTTTAGGTGTATAGGCTTGAGGTGGCGGGAATTAAACGTTGGCCTTTTGGCGATCAACTTTTTGGCTTGCGTTTTTTCCTTTAGTTTTTATACCCAAAACTGAAGGATTCGATTTTTTTTCATAGTTTATGCAACACCTAAAAGGAAGCTGCAGAGACCCTATATATTCGTGATCAGCGTGAAATTCTGAATTGATTAAGCCATGTCTAATCGTCTGTGTGTCTGTGTGGTGTTTGTTGCCGGCACTCTCCTCGTAGCAAAAAAGAAAATATCGACTTTGAACTTGGTAGAGACATTGGAAGTTTTTGGCACACAGGTTGGTATTGAAAATAGGCTGCATTGATCAAAGCGGAAGGCCGTTGTTTTTCTAAACAAAAATTTGTGGCTTTTTGCTCGTTACTCACAAATTATAAAAGTTGGAAGGTTGAAATTTTCCATATTTACTTTAGGAAACCCTTCAACCCTTTTAGTGAGAAAATGGCAAAAATTGGCCACGCCCACACAATTTAATTTTGTTGCCTTTTTTTTAGATTTTATGCTTATTTGTCATAAGGAAAACAAGACAGAGGGTTTAAAACTACTTTTTACATTCCTCAAATGAAGATATATTATCCGAATAAAAATGGGTTAATTTTAAAATGGATATGGTAGATACTGCGGTTAATTTTTTCTTAATAATACCAGCGATATGGATATCAAACAAAAGAACATGGAGAGCAGAATGCGAAAAGCATGATGGTGGGTGTGCGAGATTCGGCCCCCGCCAAATATAACTTTCTTACATGTTTTGCTTGGTATATTGCATTTGTTGTACATGCATACGCTACACATGCCCATATCTGCAATAGCGTTGTGGGTTTCGTAATGGATTTTTTGGGGAACAATGTCGGTTATAAAAAATATTGATTTTTTTCCTCTTGATTTCGTTTGTCATTTATGAAGTGGTTTTCAAATAGTTGTTCTTCTCGTATACGTTTAATGATTCATTCTTTTTTTTATTTCTTTTTTTTCGGTTTCAATGCATAAATGAAGGGCACAAGGCGTAGCTTTCCATTGTGTTCGGCATAAAGGTTTCATCTATTTTTTTTTTTTTTTTATCTACCCGTTGCTTTCCTAATGCTTCGGAGAATTCAAAACTTTTTACAGGCTGAGGTAAGTTAAAATTTCTTTTTAGTATCGTTTTCAATTCTAAATGATATGAGGTTTTAGAGTTAAATCGGCAAAAACGCTACATAAATATGATTTGATTACAATTTTAGAGACTACGCCATATTGTGGCAAATAAGTGAAGATTGCTCAACGGTTTCTTAGTCGCTCTTCGCTAATTAAGTGGCAGCTGTTACATTAAGATAGCTTTGGGGCTTTTTACGGGGATTATTACGAACCTGCTGGTCAATTAAGCCTATTAATTTAATTTAATCTCTACAACTTACACACAAACACGAGCCTTTGTGTTTTAGTTTTTAGATTTCTATTTGAATTTTAGAACACTCCAAACAAAGATTAGGCATAAATGCAATGTAAATGCAGGAGCTATTTTTGGATAACGTGAAATTCAAAGTAAGTGAGGAGATTTAAAAGTTTCTCCAAACGCACCGCTTTAATTAAAAATCTTGAATCCTGTACTTTTCAATCTTGTATACAGCGTAGGTTTATTTGCAGAATAATTCACCCGATAAACATATGTACTCTGATTGTGTTCAAAAAATTAGCACCTAATTACTACGGTCCCTTCATCTATTCAACAACCCTCTAATCGCTGACCGTAATCAATAGACTTCACCGAGCGCGAAGATGCAAAGCCGTTGTTACGATTCACTGCAGAATATTTCCTGGTAGAACTTACTTTCTTGAACTCTAAGCAAGAGTCTCGCTCACTGTTCTGATGTTTTGCATTGCAGGATACTCAGAATGTTAATCTCTTCTATAGTTGATGAACCTAAATCCATATTCCCCACTATGTTACGTAAATTTTTATAAAATTTTTTTCTCGAACTTTCAAAGGAGTTACCACAGTTCCTCTAATGAAATTCGTTTCGAAAATTAGTCGCCTTTTGCTTAGCATACCTTTTATTCTTGCCAAAAACCGCAACACTAGTGAATGTTGAAAAGCTACCGGCACGTGTTACCGCTATAACATGGCATAATATAATGTATAACGTCAGTTAAAAAAGTTATATTTGTCTTAAAGAAGATTAACAAAAGATGCAAAAATTACATTTTTATACTCTATAATACAGAATGGGCGTGGCTGATTATTTTTATTTTTTTAGAGCATACATGAGTATCGGATGTCTATTGCATTTTATGCGTAATGTGCATAAAATTCTCAAGAGGTCTTCTCGCTTTTCATGAGTCCGTGTCTCTCGACCGATGGGTCACATTTTCATTACCAATCTGTGTGCGAGAACTTTCAATGCTTTTGCAGTGTGTGAAGCCGATATCTTTTGTTGAGAGAATGGTTGACGCAGACATCGCAAAAAAACGAACGGACAAAATCGATTCAGAATTTGATGCTGATCAAAAATACATGTACTTGAGGAGATCTCTGAAGCTTGGTTCTAGGTGTCGCAAACGTTACGACAAAATGAACATTCTTTGATGGTGGGTATAAAATCGAGACCTCTCTACGTAGCAATTTAAAAGTTAAGCGAGATCAGTGATATGCTTTAACTAATTTTAACTATAATTATTACAGTGCACAAAAAAAGTTGATCGATGGTATTATTTTTAAGTCAAAATAGATCCGCCTAAGTGGTCGAGTAGGCAAGAGTCTCGACTAGCAACTCAATGGTCATGGGTTCAAATCACAAGTGCGGTAGAGTTTTTAATAAAGCCGAAAGCCTTAGAATGTTGGTGCCTTAAGACATCTGGCTAAATTCATAATAATAATAATAATAATAATAATAATAATAATAATAATAATAATAAATCAAGATAAAGGTCAGTTTTTATTTTTGGGAAAACGTAGCAAGTGAAAGGAAATTATTTCAGTTTGGTTTACGATGCTTTCTTTTTTCAGTCAGTCTAACATATGAATTTCTTATAGACTTTTCATTAACAAACAAAAAATTTTCGTATATTTTTTACAAATTAAAATTTTTTGTAAAAGTTTGGAAATTAATTATAAATAAGTGTACAATCATTTCAAAATTTTTCGGAATTTTTCTATTATTGGTTCTTTTAACACTTGACACGATGCAGTCCAGCCCGCAACAGCGTAAGCATGAGTACAATTTGCATCGAGAACGGGTGCACCGAGCTAAAGCAATTGTCGATCATCAACCGCCTACTATACATGCTGGTAATTTTGTCCGTTTCACGAAATTGAAAGAAGATGTGGACACCTATTTCGGACAATATATGCGCAATGTCCGATTGCTAGTTAGCTTGAACGGCACACTTCGTACCAAAGGCGAAGTTGATTCGTTTCGCACAACCCAACCCGCCGTTCAAAGAGATTTGAGAGCGAAGCTCAGGCAATTGAACCAATTAGAATTGGATAATATAGCATTTGGTGCCCGGATCATGTGCATAAAGGGCGACTTAGATACGCGGCGTCCACGACAATTTAGGCAAAGGCGTAAACGGCGTCTTCCTAAATTTACGCCGCCACATGCACTCTTATGCAAGTATGAAAATCTACAAATTCCGGACGACGATTCTAAACTGCGTAACCTATTTCGCCCGAAAATCTGGTTCGACATGGAGGTTAAGGGTTATCGTCCATTGGGCGTAATCGTTATACAATTGTACACCGAAGCGGCGCCTCAAGTAGTCTTGGAGTTGGTTCGACTCTGTGTCAAAAAGGAAATGGATCGCTTACAATTCGTGCGCTTATTTTCTGGCCTTTGGGTAGATGCTGATATCACTTTAGATAGCCAATCTCTAATAAACAAGAATATTGAATATGATATGCGCGCAGTCGATCACGGCATTCATTCCGGAGTTTTTCACTTCTCTGTTGAAAACGATAAAGATAATCGTCGAGGCATATTTAGCTTTTCAATAAGCTTTAAACGTCTACGTGTACTGAATGGACGTCGTGTAGGATTTGGACATGTGGTGCGAGGTGCAAAAACTTTGAATTGTGTTCAAGATTACTCAACCAAAAATGGCAAACCAACAAAAGAGGTCGTCATAATGAATTGTGGTGTCATTCATTGATTGAATTATTCTGTGATAAATTGTTTTCGGTCATTCATTTATTTATTTTCTTTTCTTTTTGTTGATCATTATGAAATATTAAAAATGAAGTTTGTCATTTACTTCTCGGCGCTGCGTGTCTTCTTTCTTTTTTTTCAACTTTGATTATAATGAGTAGGTCGCCTATGATGATTATTAAAATGTGCAGTATGCAGTAGAAAATGTACGCACTTGTAATATATCGACGAGAATATGAAGGAAATCATTCATTTTAACTCGCTGTGACTGTGCTACTAAGCGCAATGATGATTCATTACTGTTATAAAGCTCAAATAGTTTTACCGCAATAGCCTTAGCGCTGCGTACCCTGCTATGGAATCTGTAAAACAAGTAGTCCGAGTTGTCCTCAGGAGCCTTCTTGGCAGCAAAATGTTGGCTTTCTAAAAATTTAACGCACCAGTATATACCACATAAAGGAGAATTTCTAGGGTGAGATGTTATACTTATCCTCAGAATGTACAAGATGGATAGAAAGTTAGATGATTATATCTTCATAGTTTGAACACATTAGATCTAGAATTTTATTACAACTATTCATAACGCTATTTAGTTGAGTTAGGCATAAATCAAAAATACAATTAGGGAATATGTCTGTAAGTATTTGTAAGGCCTTTCTCATCCTAGCAGAAGTGCTAACGGACTTGTGGTAGTTTAGAATCATCCATTACGATAGAAGTGCGTCCCATTTTACTAGATAGCTCCTGAAGAAGTAAGACATGCATCATATATATATCAAGATTTTTCAAACTAGATTATATTAAACATATCCGTGGTACTGTCTTTTTGATTTGTGCACTATTGAAGCTACCACAATGCCGAATTAATTGTGAGTTTTTCAATACGTTGCCGGAGAAAATTATAGAAGGAATTCTTCAATATCATCATCAGCACTACTCTTCTATTAACCCTCAACTAAGTCCACCTTTATATCCAACAAATGTTGAGGAAATCAAGATCCAAACATTTTCGGGAATTCGCTTTGGCCATACAATTGCAACGCACCAATAAATCTTAAGAAGTCCTCTTATGGACAAATTCTCACTATAAAGTACATTCCCTGTGACTGCCTTAACTTTGTTGCTAGTGCTCAATGTCTTTTTCTTTTAGTCTAAGAATTTATTTCGTTAGTCTAAAATTTTAATAATAACAATAATAATAATACTTATTTTATAAGCGAATTTATTTTGATTGTACAATTAAGTTATCTTTCAGATTATATTCGGCTATGACGAAACGAAATGAAATAAATGAGATGAAAGATCCGACAGTGGAGGAATGTATGAATAAGAGACATCAACGTTTTTAAACTGAATGCTGGAATGAGCCTTGCAGCGACTCAATATCCACAGGTGTGGTGATCGCAAGCTAACCATACCAATACCGATGAGAACTTTTCCGCTTGTTCTGGACAGACCTTCACTCCGACAAACTTAGTATTCATTACCTAGAAGTTCCACATTGCTTACGTCAAGCTGCATAGGAGCTGCCTTCGACCAGTTAAATCGGAATTCGATTTTAAATATCTTTTACCTTTTAAAGAGCTAGAAATATTTAATAGATATTTAGACTTCTTAAGCTAGGCTAGCCTTCCCGCATAAAATAGTTCCTGGTTTTTTCACCGCGGCACGCCCCTGTTTCGTAGCATAAAACAGACATCCGACAGGCTCACCCGACAGGCAAAGCCTTGGAGGAATCTGCCGCTTCCAAAACCTACACATTTTCGATGACAGCGATTTTCACAGATACTGCAAATTCGGAACAACTCAGATGTACTCTGAACGTTGAACCTTGCGAATATGTACGACATCATTGACACGTATTGGGTTTGTTGTTACTGTTATTATGACAACAAACTATGTTTTCTATTGTTTGTGTCGTTGCAATGCGATAAAGCAAAACTTGCTACTAGTTTATGCTATCCTTGCTGATTAAGCTTAATATTATTGTCATTGTTGTTGTTAAACTTGTTGCTATTAATGCAGTTTATCTTGTGTATGTTGTGTTAATTAAAGTAACTGTATAAGTTCTTATATATTCTTATTCTTATATTTTTGCTGTTTCTTTATCCGAATTGAAAACGAACAAAATTCAGTTCGACGCAGTTTCAATTCCACCACATTCCGCTGGCCGTATCGCGATGTTGTGGACTTTCTAAGTCTTGACCGAGTTTTAGTTAGTTTCGTGCTAGTCCTCCTATGCTTGCACAATCGTGCCACACCAGTAAGGGATTTCTCAAACAAACATATAAATATACATATATGTAGTTTTAAAACGCTTATAATTTTCATGACGAATACTCTAATTTAAGCTAAACTTTGCACATTTAATCAGAAATTAATTAAAAAGCAAGAGCGAAACGAAAAACAACAGCTACAGCTTTCAATAGGATTATCATAACATCTTAGAAAGTTTATATAGTTTCTTTGGGTTCCTCCATTTACTATAATAAGATGTCTGAAATTCTTTTCTGAAAACTTTAAAAATGTAACGAGATATTCGCCTAATATTTTCAAAAAGGAATCAGATAGCGATGCTTAGTGCTTATTACAGAGTTCGAAGTGTGGAAAGAAGTGCTGGTGCTACTATCGGCAATCATTTAAAAATGCTATTCATTGCTTTGGTAACTTTCCTTACAGAAAATCAAAGAAAAATCCACAACATTTTATGTAAATTCTTTTCAATTGGTGCTTGCTGCCAAGGCGGCCTTCATAGGCATTTGCACCAGCTATAAAGGATGTGCTACTCAGGGACTGTACGTACAGAAGAATCTCATCAGCGAAAAAATTTAATTTTTCATTGATAATATAATAATAATAAAAAATACTATAACGAATAAAATAATAAAAAAGTAATAAAATACTATAAATTATATTTTGTTCCCATACAAACGCATATTTTTTAAGCGAGACATTTTTAAGACTAATTATTGTTAAGAATATTTTATTCTTGTTCACCTATTTTCGCTATAAGGTACTACAAATTCGACTCTTTTGACATTAAAACGTTCCATTATATAATTCACGACTTTTTCAAAATAAAGCGATATATGTATATAGGAAGAATGTATATAGGAAGAATGGTCACAAAAGCAATCCGATTTAATTCGTGTTCAAATGTCATCCAAATAACTCAACAATTTCTACCTGAACAGTAATCACAAAAATACCTTAACGACTTGAAGATGTATGACCATGACCATGAGTCGATTCAGAAAATGAGTTTGAATCGATTAGTGTGATAAAATAAAAGGCAGTCTCAACTTCTTCTGATTGTTACATACGTACGCAAGTGCTGCCATGGATGTTTACAGAAAAAAGAAAGACAACAAAAGAATCTCTTTATTGTCACATGAGGTTTAATGCGGTTCTGGTCATGTATATTGCGAACATATTCAGATCGAATGAACGGTCGGAGGAATGCAGCAATGAAAGTACATCGCTGAACTGCAACCAAGAATGCTATGACAGGTTTTAAAATAAGGACTACGTTGTATTGCATTTGGATTTTAAGAAACACATTACACACTTAAATTTATTGCACTTACAAAAGGTACGTATGCGTTTAAGATAGATTGATAAACAATTTAAAAGTAACGGAGTTTTTCATATACACATTGCATAAGTAAGTTGCCATTTACACGGAATATTTCCAAACAAATTTGCTTAATACACTCAATGTATATTTGTTGCAGATTTTAAGGCGTTAATGAAAATATTTCTAGACGCGATTACATATCTCCTTCAAGTTTTCATTTTCTTTATAAACTTCTGCGAGGGGAAACTCGGCCCAGGCGACTAGATCCTCTTACAATCTCATTGTGTTCAAGAATGCATATGTATATATATTTGCATATGTTTACATGAGAATTCACATGTGCCTTCCATATCAACTACTTAGCCTTTAACTCTCATTTCCATTGAAAATGTTCACGTTATGCTTACTAGTAGGCATACAGAGCTAAAATTGTGTATAATTTTCTAAGCTAAATAATGTTGTAAAGGTACACTGGGCTTTTAAATGTCATTTTTGTTCGATATGATCCTTACTAACTTTAGAAATTGTTTTTACCGAAGCGCGGCACGTACAGTCTTATGGTTATTTGTTTAGTGCTTCGTCTAACTGCTCTTTTAACTTTTCGGTTTCTACATTGCTCTGTTCACTCAGTTTCCTATCCGTTTGCCCTTGAGTTCATGTATTCGCATTCTTTATCCATTAGAAAGCCGTTTGCTTACTCTATACGTTTTCTTATAATTCTCTCATTGGTAAGAAGAATTAAGCTGGGCAGCCGGCAATTTTTTTTCATGGCAAATCAACTAACACACGTATTCCTAAAAGTTGAATCAATTGATTAACTTGTATATACAAGCGTATACATACTAATATACTACTTATGTTTATATGATACTATCATAACAGTCCAATTACATAGAGTACTCTGTGCATTCTTTAAAAAGACAAGTATATGTATAAAACGCTTTAGATGCTGAATGACAAATAAACGTTCGGGTTAACGTACAAGCACCTGTAAATTGTCCTCTTCGCCCTTGAGTACAAACTCACTCATATATGCATATGCAATAAACCCGTACATGGCTTTCATTTTATCATTTTTCATTATGTTATGTTAGATTGCTCTATATTCAGTTGATATAAACAGGCAACCAATCACTCGTTTCAAAGCACAAACTTTCGTAGCTGCGATCGCCATATCACTTATTTGAATGTGTATAAAGTGAGAAGCTATAAAATAATTCCACAGGCAGGCGGGCAAAAAAGCTTAGATAGATTTTACAAATTATTCTAAATCAATCGAGGTAATCAAAGGTGGGCCTATCTCAAGTGGTGTAGCGTATGCTTTTACATGCTAAAAACATCCAATTTTTCCTATTTTATGATGAACATTGGTCCCTAGTAAATTAACCACAGGGAATTTGGATCTTTTCGTATCGTATATAGGGGCT